CTCATTTTCCTCAGGAACTAAAAGCAGCGTATCGAGTGTCGAGAGGAATAGTTATCATATATTTTACAAGAGATGGCTGTGCTACCTTCCCTCACCTGTCACTCTTCTGACACGGCACGCACAGGCTTAAGCTGGGGATACCAGAGCGGGCAAGCTGCAGAGCCAGCTGTGACCCTGCAGAACACAGTCCCCAGCTTCTGCCACTAAATCCCACATCTCGACAGAACCGCGCTACAGAGCAGGACAATCCCTCCTTTTTACTCTCTGAAGGTTCATCAGCTACAGTACAATTTATCAGGGAACTTAAGCTTTGAAAATCCCATGTTGTTGCATAAAGTGGACATAATAAAGGAGAAAATTTCAAAATATGATCACAGCATTTATACACAAGACACTTGAAAAGTACTAAAGAAAAGAGACATCTACTACTCACAGAGCAATTCAGAATATAGCAGAAAAATTAGAGGCAGCATAAAGAAAGGCTGGGAATCAACCATGATTTTGGACTACTCCCATAAAACTACCATCATGACTGAGAAGAAAAAATAAATACATATCTCTGGGCTTGGGCAGTATTAACTGATTCATAGAAACAGAGGAAAACTTTACCTCCTTAATAAAAGGGGTCAAATATACATGTATGTATGTCAAATTTACAATAAAATATATTTGCATGAATAATGCCTGAGTCAAACAAATATACTTAGAACTATTGTAATTGCTAATTTCATTAGGGTTTGATGTAAATCCTATAAAATTTATCACATATTTCTTCTTACAGCTTAGCATGATTTGCATTATAATGCTGTTTCTTTTCTCTAATTCTTCATGAATGATTGATGAAATTGTATTAACAAGACTTACATATGTGCCTTGAATAAATGTACATAGAAACACATGGAATTCTAATCCCATCTCTTTCTGAATTCTCTGCTATTGCTGCAAGTGAGAAATTTTGTTAAATGTTCATCTTGTTAGGATTTCAGTGTGAAATTTTCTGTTAACTCACATCAAACAGGAAGATCCAGAGCTCTACTTTGTTTTTCAGATGCACTTTCTGAGCTATGAAATTTCAATTTCAAACTCATAAAATAATTTTTGCATCTTAAAAAGCAGTACTATTGTTTTGCCTGATTTGCAGTTTGGCATATGCTCATCTACCTAATGGATTGTTAGAGCTGTTGAGTATTTATGAATTCTGCCATACATACTGCCTTGAAGTTTCCCTTATTCCATACTAAAATGGCTATATCTGTCAGCTGAGCACTTAAAACTACATTTTTCCCTTCAAGTACTAATCTCTTCATTCTCTTCTCTATTTTCTCATGCTTCTGACCCGTGTGGGATTTTCTACTCATCAGGGCTGTACAAACACTTTTAGATACAGAGTCTAAAAGTCTACATCTTTTAGAATTTTGCAGTTGCCAATAGCACAGACAAGGAAAAAACCCAGGAATTTCTGCTGCATACTGTTACATACTTGTGTAGATCACCTACAGATAACTCTCCCTGGACCAACCAGTGAAGCAGTCCCAGTCTTCTGCTACCTTCAGACTCCCTGTGCTAAGGATAGAAGCACGGTACAGGTCTGTTTTTCAGACTCTGAACAACACTACTGATGGTCTAGTTTATACTGAAATAATTATATATTGTATATTATTATATATATATTCAATATATATATATAACAATATATATTGAATGAATATCCAATAATATATATAATTGAATAATATATATATTGAATGAATATTCAATATATATATTGAACAATATATATTATATATATATCAGTATATATATTTAATGTATATTCAATATATATATTATAATATATATTGAATATATTGTAGACCTCATTCAGCTTACTCCACTGATGTATGATTTCCATGGAAACACACAGGAATGGATGGAAAAGCTGCACAGGGCAGTAGAGCTCTGTGTGATGCCATCATTTACCACCTGTCTCTGTATACAATTGCACTGGGGCAGAAGGTCAATGACCCAGGCCCAGTTGTCCAGTTGGAGCAGAACCTGGTCCCTTTTAATATTCCCTTCCTCCTTGCCAAAAGTCATACTTAGGACTTAGTTCTAACAGTGTGACATCATTTTCACTCCTCTTCCTTCCTTTCCTCCCAGCATAATAATTAATTTATCTTTTAGATAAAAATAAATAATTTTCACATTAAGCAAAAATAAAAATTACTAGAAGCAGAGGGTAAATTTATGGCATTATGACTTCATCCCAAATTAATGGAACCTTTTAGAACTTTAACAGGACTCATAACTGAAACACATCATATTTTGGCTATAACAGCCAAACAGAATGGTTCTGACATAGTAAGTTCTCATTAAGTAACACAAGAACTGTGATATTATCTGACCTACTATTTATTCACAGCAAGATATGACATCTTCCTTTCACGATTATATACTGTAAGAGTCACAGTCACACAAAAGTTGCACAAATAAAACCATTCTGAAAACTGAATTTTCCCCTAGCCACCATCACTCACGTAATTAATCTTCTTTTAGTTCTTGCCAAAAAACTAAATGTGCAACTATTTACAGTGGCAGAGAGAGAAAGCTTTCCAGCTGGGCTGTATATTCCCACTCTGCTGTAATCTGTCTTCAAACTGCTAAACCCATTCACACTGACTCTTGTCTATAACAGTTACTAACATCCCTCTGAAGACTGTGCCTGCTTTCCTAAATTTTAAATCTTTTATTTTAAAAAGTGTAAAGACGACCATCAGTAAATGTAGCAACACAGAGACACCTTGTTGTGCTGGAATCAATGAACTGCAACATTAGCATTCTGTAATCAAAGAAATGCAATTCTTTGACATCCATTTTATGAAATCAAATCACTTCAGGTACAGAAGGAGTAAATTCAGTCAATCTGAAAGCAGTGTGCCCTGGCAAACAGGAGGGACAAAAGTGTCCTGGGGGGCATCAGGCACAGCATCACCAGTCGGGCAAGGGAGGGGATTGTCCTGCTCTGCTCAGCTCTGGGGCAGCCTCACCTTGAATTGTGTGCAGCTTTGGGCACCACAACACAAGAAAGATACGAGGATCCTCAACAGTGTCCAAATGAGGGCTACCAAGGAGGAGGAAGGGCCTTGCAGGGAAGAGCAGCTGAGGGCACTTGGTCTGTTCAGCCTGGAGGAGGCTGAGGGGAGACCTCACTGCAGTTACAGCTTCCTCGTGAGGGGAAGAGGAGGGGCAGGCACTGAGCTCTTCTCTCTGATGACAGAGACAGAACCAAGGGAATGGCCTGAAGTTGTGTCAGAGGACATTCAGTTCAGGTATCAGGAAAAGATTCTTAACCCAGAGGGTGGCTGGGCACTGAACAGGCTCCCCAGGAAAGTGGTCACAGCACCAGCCTGACAGAGCACAAGAAGCATTTGGACATTGCTTTCAGGCTTGTGGTATGACTTTTGGGGACTGTCCTGTGCAGGGCAGGTAGCTGAACTTGATGATCCATGTGATCCCTTCAACTTCTTGGTATCATACTACTGACCTCTGAGTATGATTCTTAGGAAATCTTTGAGTCCACAATTGCAACTTAAGACAATGAACACATTAAAAAAGAGACTTAACATACCCAAGTACTTCTGTCAGAACAGATATACTAATTTTTCAATCATTTACATAAAAATTCTCAAAAAGATTGTTCTATGGATCTTAGAGAACACACAAAATAGATATCCTCAGGTTTTTTTCCTGTCCATCTTCAGACATGTCTGATTCCTATTTCTGCAATCCCTTCAAGGCCTGTAAGAATCTATCTAAAGCATGACATACTCCAATGCATCTACTACAGTAAAATCACAGGTTACTAATAATATTTTAATGATATATTAACTCTTCCAACACACAGTTTGTATAATCAAGAACTAAAGGACATAAATGTACCTCTTTAGCAAGACATGAACTGCAGGAAAGAGTCGCTGGTCTTGGGACAAAACACTAACTTGTTCCCAGGAAATCGAAATAAAGGGTATTATAACTCATAATCCAAAAAACAAGTAGTCTAAAAGCATGGCAATTTAATTTTGACACCACAGAATTTATCTTTATCTTATGGGTATCTGTTATATTCTTCAATGCCTGTAAGATCTAATGGAGATCTTTGCTGCTATGGTGTTGGAAATTAAAGGAGGGAAAAGACAATGTATAATCATTTATACTATTTTATACTATTTATACATTTATTATTTATACTATATATATGAATGATTATGTTCTTTTGAAGTTTATTTAGAATTACATGGGTAATATGAATAGTATAGATGTGGCTCATAACACTGACTCTGGGAGAAGAGACTCATTTTGTGAAGCTACAGCTTGGGAATTTGGAAGATTTTTGGTTTGTTTTAAATTTTAATTTTCTCTTTTTCCACACTCTTTTGCACCATTTGGAATTGTTTTTGCCCAAATAGACTGTTCTGAACAGTAGGGTTTTTCATCTCAACTCATGAGCAAAACCACTAAAATTCAGACAGCATTTATTACATTTATGAAGCAAACAAGGCATGCCCTAGAGAGTTTTGGGGACACTTTTCTTCAGACTTTCTTAGGGAGTGGATCATTGCAAGGAAATTAAGAACATTTTCCACCATCCATACAGCAGTATCTAGCCAGAATACAATAACCTAAAAGCATTGATCATTTTTGCAAGCTTTTACTGAAAAATGCTTTTCCCTAAAAATAAGAGAAATATTTAGCTTGAACAAGTCTATATTATTTATACACAGAATAAACAAGATAATATCCTTGTTAGCATTTCTGAGGAAACAAGATGTTTTAAACCTGCTTATTTTTTTTATATTTACAGAATTCCCTTCACAAGTCATATAGAAAATGCAGAGGCACTCTGAAGAAAGGGACTTGACTTTCAGGTTTATTAGTGGGAGTATTCACATTGCAAGTAAGTGAAAAACATGCAGTGTTTCTTAGGGATTTTGTTTTGGCTGTTTTTCTTTATGTGTACTCACACTCAAGGCAGCTGGTCCTGGAGGTCCTGCATCTCCCTAGTTAAAACAGGAGAGGAAGTTAAGTCAACAATCTCTTTAGTTATGCATATTTAACCTCTAGACCTTTTAGAGAATATGCAGCATTGCAAAAGTGATTTCAGTACCATCATCAAGCATGCTGATTATGAAAATATGTGAGTAAAGTGACATTCTTCTCCAGTAATGACATAAATATACACAGTTCACCACAGGTTAAAAGGAAAAATAAAAAATCCAGGCCTGTGCATAAATGAATCACAGCTTAAAAAAAGCAATCCTTCAAAGCACATTTCCATATGTCAAGTTACAAACTTCAGCTTACATGCACAAGGTGGCTGCTGAAGCCAGTGTGACAGCTCACATATGTAAAGACATCTGATTGTGTAAATATTCACAGAATTAGGTCACTGAGGCACAAATCGCATCTGAGTTCTTCAGGTTTAATTCATGGGAGCAAATTAGTGCACCCAGAGAACAATTCAAAACACCAAATTTAGGTTCCTGCTCAGAATTCCTTTTAAAATTCATTGTGATAAAGGGTACTTGTCTTTTGCATTTACATTTAGCCTGTACTCATATCCTTTAACCCTTAAGTTGCACAAATGGCAGCAGTGGGTGTTTGCCACACACACATAGTTATGATAATGCATTCAAAACTGAAGAATATCATGCACACTCACATATACATACAACTGAATAAAAAGGTACCTTTTCTCCTTTTGGACCAGCCACACCAGGACTACCAGGGTCACCTTTTAGTCCCTGGGCAAAAAGAGAAATGTGTGTTTGTTGTCATCTGTCAAAAATGCAGGGAATAAAAAATCCTGTAGCACTGTGACTTAATATACACTAAACAAACAGGCCTTAAAATTCTACCACGTTATTAGTATTATCCCTAAATTCTTTATTGTCATTATTTTGTGAACAGACAAACATCTATCAAAGACCACATGTGTCTTCAATACATAATTAAACATACAAAGCCAATCTACTTTATTGTGCTCCATTATGGTAAGTAGTGACTAGAAATACGAAGTTCCTTTGCAGTCTTGCATGGCCAACAAAGATAAAACAGAACATTAGAGAGAGTGCTAGAACATTCTTGAATGCTGCTAAATTTGGGAAAGAGGCAAAGGTGAACAGAGAACTGCAGATTTTATGTTTCAAGGAGCAGTGCTGAACTGGTGAACTCCAGGAAGGTACAGCTCAGAGCTGCTGCACATCTTCCAACGCTCTCATTTTCACTGATGTTCACAAAGGCAATTAGAGAAAGAATTGATTCCTTCATACCTCCTTCTTTAGTTCTGCCTTCAACAGGGGAAGCAAATAGCACTGCCTAGCCTTACACTTTACATACACAGCCATTCCACACGTGCAGGATCAGAGTGGTTTGGTTTGGAAGTGACTTCATCTGGTTCAGCCTCCGCTGCAGCAAACAGGGACATTTCCAACTGGATCACTTTACTCTATCCAACGCATTCATTAAAGCTTCCTGGAATGGGGAATCTACAGCCTCTCTGAGAAACCTTTTCTAGTGTTCACTAGTCTGAATCTACCCTCTACAATATCTCTCATACAACTCTTCCATTAGGAAGTTCTCACCAGAAGCAACAAAAAAAACCCCATAAAATATCTTTAGTACCCAGCACACAATCTTTGTTGTCTTCTCCTTGCTGAAAAACAAATGGAAAAATGAGAGGTTTCAAAATATGCCCAGCAAATTCAAACCATTCTACAGCACTGAATGAACTTAATTCTCATGGTGGACCAACCTACCAGGAATTCATTTTTATTTAAGCTGAGGCATTTGTCTTGTGCCTTCCCTCTGACCACTGCCTTAGTGTCATGAGAGACTGTGTATTGAAAGTCAGAGACACCTCTACAAGCTCAAAGATTTTACTTAGAAATGAAATGGCGACAATGTAGGCAATACAAGACCCCATCATAATGAGATGCTCCACAAGTAGGCCACCATCGTTATTATTCTGGAGGTTAAATAGGTCAAGGATAGAAAAGATTCATTTACATCTGAATTAGGGTTTACAAACTAAAGTTCTTCCCAGCTCCCTTTTTGTCCTTGCAAACTCTCTTCCTCAGTTTGCAATTATTAGGAAGATAGATACAACTGGCACGAAAATGGTAACTAACATCTGTGCCTTAGTGGGTACAGAAACATGAAATCAGTGAGTGTTCTAAATACTGCGTATTTGTGCAACTTCACTTCCTGCTAAAATTACATTAATTCACCATCTGGAAGGAACATCATTTAGAACTATATGAGCATTTAAGTACCCACTTTGGATTAAATTTGTGGTTGTTGTAAATACCCCTGATTTAGCTTTGATTTGTTCTTTATTAAGCTTGCCAAATATGTAATAGTTAAATCAGAAGTAGTTTTGCTGTTTGAACTTAAAAAATGTAATAGGCAGATGGATTCAAAAACCAAGCCAAAAAATTGCTTTCTTTTTACAATCTGCATATTTATGACATAGCTTTAATATTGTCTCCATTTGCTACATTTTACTTTCAGCCTCCTTCTGAAAGATTGCATAAAACACAAGCAATCCATACTCTTAAAGCCATTTCAGGGATTTTTCAGGTATGCAAACTGTATGGATTTGGTTCAAAATCAATACTAGCAAATCAGCAGTGGAACAATAGTTATGAGTTTAGGAATTAGCTCTAAGGCTGTATGTTTACAGAAGACAAAAGACAAAGCTAAAAAAAAATCTGCAACTCACAGATGGTGACATATATCTGTGTGTCTCTACTGAATAAAAAATGCAACTGTGGATGCAAGATACTGAGCCTGAGCCATGCACTTTAAAACTATGAACCTTTTTTTTTCCTAATTGCTGTGTTTAAAGCTTTTAGTAGTGTTTCTGCAAGAGCACCTCAGCGAGGTGTGCAGTCTGGCAGCTACTGCAGAGATGATTACCACAGCAATTGACCTCAAATAAAAAGGACAATGGTAAACTGCACATTTTACAAGAAACCTTACAGTGTTTGAAGGATTTTTAAGAACCCAATATTATAGACAAATTAGAAGTATTTCTGGTTTGCCTACATGTTATATATGTATTTAAAAATATTATAAACTTTGTAAGTTTCAGACGTAGCAAATGATTGCAAAAGATACATCTGGGAATGCACCATGCTTATTCTTTTCTACAGTCACACTTTTGAAGCTGCTGAGAGGTTTAGCTGCTGGCTCACTGTCTCTGAAATACCATAAGAAGTAAGAATTCCTGTGCCAAGTCAAATCTGTAGCCCCTTTTAGCACAGTACAGTAGGGTATCCTGTCTCTGGCAGAAACCAGAACAGGATGCTTCAGTAAAATGAATGTGGTTATCTAAACAGATCTAATTTGGATGATTTTAGACCAAGCCTTAAGTTAGAAAAGCTCATTTTCTGCAGTGTTTTAGGAGAACAAGGTCAGCTTTGAAAACAAACAAATTTCTATTGATCTAAGGAGTCTGTTACCAGATTTGCCAGAAATTCAAGAACAGATTAAAAATTCCAGCAGCTCTTATAACAGAGAGTAAATTAATTGGGTATTGAATTCTATCCCAGTCTAGCTTTTTGGGACCAAGATAATAATATACATTTATGAGTTCATGAGCAGTCTTCAGCTGAAGCATTTTCTCCCCTAAAAGGACTATGGCCTGGTCTTTTTACAGGACATGATAAACTCACATTGTGGTTCCTTTATGGAAACCAAAATGTAAAGTAAGCATTAGAATATGTTTGTACAAGGCCAATTCGAAGCTACCAAGATAACAATACTGGAAATACCAGAAATGAGAAATGTTCTATATACATAAATAAAGTAAGACAGACAATTGCAGTACAATTTTCAGTCAACGGAGAAATTAATGGAACAAGTATATCACAAACATCAGTAAGGGTGTGAATTGGGATCAATCAGGGAAAGATTGAATTAGAGGCAGTATTTTTGTTTGGAAGGGATGACTATGCTATTTCTTCTGGTGGAATGAATAAAAAACTGATAAAACAGGTAAAATATATCACCACCTGACACCAGGAACTTCTCTCAACGAAAAATTGCAAAGATCAGCTGGACCCCAATCAGAAGACTCCAGCAGCTCCTGCAGGAGCCAAATGTTGACTACTGGAATTGCACCTATTTGTACAGCATGAACTATGCTGCACACATGTTGCAATGGAAAATGCAGTTAGACTTCAATAACATTTTCAGGAGAGCAGGTTTTCGACTCTAAAAGGTATCTTTTGAGGAAAATGTAATTTATTATTTGCAATTCCATGGCCTTCATTAGAGCAAGCCCATTCAATGTCACATCAGGTTGAAATCTCCTAGCACAATACATCTTACCTGATGTACTGGAAATACACTACACAACCCAGCACTATAACCAACTATGTGGAACCACATTATTATAGATCAGATTCACTTATCTCTACCAAGTAACAGAGCTTGGAAATATTCTAACCACTAAAAACAGCACTACATTTTCTTCACAGAGCAACCTTAAAATGTAAGTTAACAACAGCTTCAAAGTCAGCTGTACAATGCCAACCTGGATAAGCTGGGATAACTTTTCTAATTTAGCAAAGTGTTATTTGCAAAGTGTTTCATAGCGTCAAACAATATACTTTTCCCAGTTTATGTCTCAGGTACTTTTAAATAATGCCTTTTCTCTTTAATAGAATTCCAAAACTTCAAACTGGTATATTACTACAGTTTACTGGACTCTAAAATAAATCTACTATCTCCTAATACTTTTGTTCTTAACAGAATTCTCAGATATAAATATACATAGATATAAATAAACATATAAATAAATATGATATATATATAGATATAGATATAAATAAACATCATCACCAACTTCACTTTTTCAAGCAATGGGATTATTCTCTTGCTATTGAAGTATTTCCTTACAATGCTAGTACTAAGAGAGTTCAAGATTAGAGACAAGCCCTGAGGGTGTGAAGGTAAACAACCATTGCTATTATATCAAGATGTAGGATCCCTTTAATAATGATCATACTTTTAATTATCTTTTCCCACAAGCATCAAAATGAAAAGGTCTAATATGTTCTCCATTTTTCCATTGAAAACCTGGGATTCTTTTATTGTTTACTGAACTTAGAGGTCCAACCTTTGACATCAGGTATGTAAAGAATAAAATTCAATGTAGAAAAGTTTTAGAAAAGTTACTTATGGTATTACTTCCCCCAGCAAGTGAAATAAAAATAACTAATTAAACACTTGGTTTAATATATACACTAGATTTTAATTTCAGAATTGTTTTTCTATTTTTTCCCACCTATAAGAAACACACTATTCCTCTACCAGCTATGCATGACACATGCTGACAGATATGATAAAATTTGCTATTTTGACTTACTTTTGCTGAAGGATTTTATTTATGTCAGAAAATAGTAATTGGCAGTATCCCATGGCATTCATTCCTACCTGCACCAGTGATCAAGAAAACAGCATGACTCAAAAAGAGTTCTATAAGTTTGGGTGATGAAGATTTTCTTTTCACTTCATATCAACAGGCAGATATATGGATATAACAGAGAATATAATCTGCAAATAGTTTTATGGGTATTTATATTGTATTTTTTTCCATATTCCACACAGGCTATGAGTGTTTTTATAATTTTTTCTTTTCAGGTAGCGTGTCCATGAAGCTCCATTTGTTATAGTGATACAAATGACAGCATTATTTCAGAATCATTGAATCATTAAGGTTGGAAAGACTTCCAAGATCATTAAGTCCAGCCTTTCACTGATAACCACCTTGTCAACTAGACCAGACAATTCATAACCCCTCAATTACAAAAGCAGACAGGTCTCTCACCCAACTGTAAAACAAAATATCCAAAAGAATGGTGAAAGGAAACAACATCTTAAAAAAATTACAGGATTTTAGTGACAGCAATGTGGCACCTGAGTTTAATGTCAAGTGGCTAAAAGAGTCTCAAGGGATGAAAGAGATACTATTCAAGCAAACTGGCAGTTCATCCTAGAAAAACAAATACCTGCTTAGAGACATGGACATGTACTACAGGAGGACCATGTTAGTCATATACTAAGTTATTTATAACTACTCCTTAAGAAACTGAAAACAATGGCAACCACATTAGTAGCATTTATAGAAAGTATTCATGTTGTCAGATGGATTTTGAATAATGTCCCAATCTGGAACACAGCATTGTAGATCTTGGCTCAGATTACTGGAGACATAAACTAGGAGATGTGCAGAACAGTGAGATAAATTCACAGCTCCCGCCTCAAAACCTGATTCTCAATGAGATTAACTGAGCCAGTTAGCACAGCCAGTGAGAGAAGAGGGAATTGAGACTTTCTAGGTATATCATCACTACAGCCTAGTCTCCAAACCAGGTCTGGCTTCCCCTCTGTTACGCTACTTCTTTCTAACAAGAACTTTCTGTACAGCTAAGAAAACACAAGTTAGCAACAGCATGCAAAAGTTTTCTGTGACACCTACTTTTCTGATTTTGATTAAAATACATTCAAATATGTTTCTACCATTTGTTCAAGATAAAATGTTCAGTCATCATCTTCAAGTTCTTGTGAGGATGGAAACCCTCACTCCCCCAGGCAGAGACAACACCTGCCAGAAGGCAATGCCACTAGCTTTAAGTGTTTTCAGGCTCTTTTGAATACATACAGCACTGCAGATTACACCAGTGTAAGGAGATTAACTTGATTATTGCAGAAATATCAGATATTACATTTCTGCCTACAGAACAAGTTAGAGAGACACTGACAGAAGCCAAGAGTCAATGAAACACAGTCCTGTAAATGACTGGTATCTCCATGGAGAGTGATAACTGAGTTCAAAGCATTTTATGTAAATGTTGTTAAAAAGGAATTGTGTATTTAAACAATACAGTGTTATACTGCTGTGTGCAGTTTTACTTCTGTTTTAATGTTTTAATGGAAGTTCCCATAATAATAGTAAGAACTTATCATTAACTGACACATTGCAACAATTCAGTAAATATTTTAAAATACAAATGTTCAGTATTTTTCACATTCAGAGTGCCACTATGTTAAATATGTCCTAGAGTTAATCAGATACTTGGTGTACCTTACTCCTCCTAAAAGGTTGATGGAACAAGATCTCATGTAGTAAAGAAGATCATGTAAGACCAACACAGAAATGTCACCAGAGCTATGGAAAGAAACACAGCCATGTCTTTTCCATGCTGTCAGCATATATGTATGTATGAGAGAAGTATACTGTTCACCTTTACAGACAGACAGGCTAGAAGAGAATACTTCTTCAAATACCTAAATTTAGTTTCAGTACATTTAAATTTAGTACATTTTCTCTTAGTACATGTTCTCACATGAAGGACATTCACTATTACTTAAAAATGGCCTGATTTACCCAGCATTAAATTGTAATTACCTGAACCAGGAAAAATAGATTTATGGTTACAGTGTGCATAGAAAGCCAGGTGATGTAAAAAGTGTCATAATTTTGTAGCCTGTCTTATAGCATTTTCAGTAGCCCCAGCTAGACTGCCATAGTATTTTTGTGTTAAATGCCAACCCTTTTATTCTTTCAGAACAGGTGCTTAAAAAAATATTGCTGAATACTTTTTCCAAGTCCTGTATCTGGATTCTAGTCCTAAGGTCAGTCATTCCCCATCTGGGAGATGCTCTCTGCCTTTAACAGCAAAGTTTTGCAACTGGAGAGCCAAGAGTGTCCAGGATTAAAACCTAAAGCCAGGGTAACCCCCACCAAGGTCAAGAGGAAGAAGGACGGGAGGAGGATACACAGCAAACATGCTTGACTTTATTATTATGTTTTTTTAAATCTTGATTTTTGAAGTCATGCTGGTTGTCTATTTTAGTATTTTATTATTATTATTTAGTATTGAAAAAAAACCACCTGACTTTTTCCCCTCTCATCTTGGTTTCACATATAAAAAAACAAATAAAAATTTAAAAATAGGCAAAAGTATGGTTTACTTTATAGTCATGCCTATAGTGTAGGCTCAGGTTCAAGCTTCAATGTGAACTCAGTCATTAGGAATATCCAGTATTTTTAGATACAGATTTATGCTACCTTAAATATGGTCCAGTCCAATTAACTAAGTAGGAAGTGAAATCTGGCAGTGAAAAAAAAAAAAGGTTGTTTTGATTCTCTCACAAGAGACACATGGCACAGTGAGTGACACACCCAAAAATGGCTAACAGCTTGTGTATTTTCTCTTTCAGAAACCAAAGCTACCAAACCATAGCTTTACCCTGCCTCCAAAAATAACTTATTCTCCAGCAGATTATCTAACAAGGAATCTATCTATCTATCTAACAAGGAATGATTCTCATCTATATTATGTTTAATCCCCATTCTTGTTTCAGTTTATCTCATGAGTCATGAGCAGAAGCATCGCGGAACATACCAAATCCTTATCCACAGCCTTCCTTACATGAAGCTCTAAGAACTCCTAAATCATATGAATGCATCTCTTCCTCCCTTATAGTCTTGGGGATGTAAAATCTCCAAGCATACACAATTTCCAAATCCATCACTCTTCTTAAATAAAGGCTGAATTACATTTCTTAACCATCCACTCAGAAGGTGTAACTTGACTGTTTCATTATTGTTCTGTTTACCTCTGTTCCAGGAAGGCCTTCTGGTCCTGGTTCTCCTTTATCTCCTTTTTCACCCTAAAATAAATAATATTTATTTTATTATATATACTCATGGCAAACCCTAACCCATCATGCCTTTTAACAGGAAAAATATTTTAGCATTCTATCTGTTCTACATGTACATTGGATGCACAAGAAGAACTATTTCTTACATTCCAACAGAAATTCTTTCTGAATAAATGTCCCTGAAAAATGTCTAGCACTCTGATAGGTACAGTTCTCTGTACTCCATAGCATCATTGAACATCCATAAAGACTCATCACAGAAGAGCATTCTTGTTTCTTGCTGTGTTTCAAGAACATGGTGGTGAAACAGAAATTTACACCAGGGAACAGTTCAGTTTTTGAAAATCCTAATCTTAATATTACAATAATTTTTTTTTCTATTTTGTGATTCAGTTTTGTTATGAGATGCTTAAAATAAATGTTTGTTTACAAAGTCCTCAGTATTATCATTTGGTATATGGTTCACTATTTGCATTTGAAAAATGGAAACAACTTTTGTTCTGAAAGTTTTCTTGGAAGTATGAACAACATTATTAATCAAAAGAAAAAAAAATGATGGGAAGGTTCCTTCAGAATTGACTATAGCTGGTTTCCGAGTTTGCTCATGAAACAACTGACTACAAAACACAACAATCTTTGTAGAATACATGAAAGAATTCAGTTCCATATTAACTCTAACCACCATGCTATTCCAATTAAGACATATTTCATCAAAGTGAATAAAATGCACTTGCTAAAGAAGCATAATTTAAGGAAAATACGTTCTGGAAGCAACAAGTCTAAAGGGCTCTATAATTGCATCTCTGTCCCTCTAATCAAGTTTGTCAAATCAAAATAAGTAATCATAAAGTAGCATAAATCTGATGGAAGTGTGAGGACTGACTTAATTAGAGTCCAAGCTGTTCATATAAACTGAAGAAAACAAAGAGCTCTTCACCAAATTTCCATTATCTCTGGGGGACTACATTTGTCTGAGTATAACCTATTCATTATATCAGCATCCTCTTCATAATTCTGTTAGGTAAATGGCATTGAGCTGAGATCATTCAGCTAACTCCATTTGTGACACAACCCTGATTCAGAGCTGTTTCTCCCTTGGCAATGACAGAGGGCATTTCATCTAATAATCAGTTTTGCAAAATGAGTTTGTATGAGCTTTGTCAAAAAACTGAAGTCTACTAAAAAATTAGCAGCAGCAAACTGTGAATTTAATAATCCCACTCCCATGATGGCATTACTGGTTCATTTTTTCCATTTTAATACATCTTGTTGATAAGAAACTTAAAAGAAACTTAATGCTACACATTAGCTTACTATGTTTAAACTATAGAGTCCTCTTTGTTCTGTGGATATAAGATACTGGTTGAGATAGTAATTTTCTTTCACTGTCAGTTTAAAAAAAAAACCCAGTTGAAATCCCAGGCGTACTGTTCTTTTTAAATAGCTCACTTAAACTTTCAGAACTGAAAATATGACATTTTACTTTTCATCACTGTGACATACTGAACATTTAATACTGCTTTCAGGATATTTCAACTAGTACCAGTTACACTGCTACAATCTTGCCACAGTCATAAAAGTACATTCATGTATTTGACATAGTATCTCCTTATCTGAATATATTTCCAGAAGATCTACAAATCATTCCAATTTGTGGAGCTGATTTTTCTTCTATGACTTGTGTATCTGCTTTCACACTTTAAGAAAAATGATGTAAATATGTACAGAATTGCTTCAGAAGTAACAGCATCCTGTAAATGCCTTGATGTATAGGTGGAAACCTAAGGTAAAAGTATCCTGTCATAACTTGTTATGCAACATCTACATCGCCATAAAAAGCCAAACAGAGAGCCTAACTAAAAGATGCCTGTTCCCTCACCCTCACTTATCATTTGCCTCGCTGTGAGATGAGCAGTACGTGCTGGTGAACGCGCCTTTTCCTCTGCAGCAGGCAGACTCTAACTTCAAAATGCTGCCAGGCAGCTCCAGACACATACAAGTGTGGCTGGTGAATGCAGGGAGGAAAGAAACCCCCCACTCCTTATGATTTACACAATATTTGGATTTAAGATGTTTCTCAGTTTCCTTGACAAAATGATGAAAAGCACCCCCTGTTAATGAGCCTTGGACCTCTGCAGAGCCCCTGGCCTTCAGCCAGGTATGCGACTTTACTATGAACATATTCTGATTTTTTAATGGAGTACACAATTTGTACCTGCCAAGCCTGTCATATGGAATGTCCGCGTTCTCTGTGAAGCCAAATTTCAAACCAAACAGAGGTCCAATTTTTTACAATTTATTCTCACAAGAACTGAGCCAAGTCATGCTCATTTCTGTCTTTATGAGGCACACTATACCGCATAATTAACAGCTTCAAATCTCAGCCAATTTGCAGAGACGCTGAAGCCACTCTGCAGTGTAGAGGAGGCTGTTAATAATCAACATTGTGGCTTTGTGGCAATGTACCTTATAGATTACCAAAAAGAAAGAAAAACGTGTTAATGTTGCTTTATATGAAGTGCTCCTGCCTATTACATTCAGATGAAACAATTAAAGACTATTTATTGCAAAAACAGGATGACAAAACTCTGAAAGCATCAAGCTTTTTTTATTAGTTAACTAAAACTAACCTCATGCAACACTGAATTATTTGTATTTCTTCGGGTCAGTTCTGCACTCCATTACCCTGATGGAACAAGCTGATGGGGTTGCTCCAGAATAACTGCTGGGAGGGATTCAGTCTGCTGTTTGTAATAGTGGATGCACTGAATTCAGTGATAGCATTCTTTAATTAGGGCCAGGGATACATCCACAGCCTTTGCAAGATGAGAGTACCAGCCTCCAACTCACTTGTCTACTTTAAGATTGCCTCGTTTTCCTTGCACACTATTTCCCCCACGTTAAAATGGCAAAACAATATATTTGGAAATACAATACATTAAAACCTAAAAATTGAACTAAAAATATGAAGACTTTTCTTTAGCACTTCCCTGTTAATGATAAAAATCTGGAATTCCTGGTATAATTTTTTGGAAGAATTTGAAAGGGCCATCGTTAACAATTGCTGAATTACTCTCCAAAGTACAATAGCTATATAATACCAGTAATTCACAGTGGGCACCTTATAACTTTTAACCTCTGAAACTCCATGATATTACCTATATATCTTTAAGACAGTTATGACTTGCTATTTTTTAATACTTTTTTCCTGCTATGTTACAGCTCTGTCTCAGCAGAATGCTCTACATGAATTTTATTTTCTTGTGACCACTTCTCCATAGCTTCTTTTAAACTGATATCAGCTCACAAAAATGCGTATTGATTTTTCTGGAGTAAATTAGGAATGAAAAAAATCTACATCTTCAGATAAAAAAAGCCAACCTTGTTTCTTTCTGATTTTCTGATAGATGTCTGAAGGGCTAGGGTTATGAAGAGGTAACCCTAATAATATTCTTACTGCCCAGCTTGTAAACCTTCCACAGAATATGGGATAGCATGCTTTAGGAAAATGGCAATACACAGGATGAAGCACCTCAGGACTGCTGAGATACCATACCATATAAAAAGAGTGGAAATCAAGACAAACTAATGATTTTGACTCAGTTCAGACTGGGAGGCACTATGCAAGGAAACATGAGTGGCACATGAGGCTCATTTCCAAACAGATTATAACCCCGTAGCACATAAGAGTATTTCCTAAGCAGAGTCAGAAAGAGACTGCATAATGCATTGCAGAAACACACTTCTGTTATAGAAAACAAAAGTCAACAGAGATGATCAGGAAGGATATCACCTCAAATCCTGTGTCTTCCCAAGCCTATATATTTAGGATGCTCAGACAAAGCTTTATAGAGATCAGACAGTTGAGTGGATACACTTATCAAGAAACAATGACCAAAAACCTGCTGATTCCAAACTGTGCCATTGCTGTCTTGTGAAGAAGTCCTGAACAAGTGTTGCTCCTGAGCATACTGGATATTATGTCAGGAGAAAGATCTTTCCTTCCTGCATTTTTTTTACACAGACTGAGCAGTTCTGAAAATATTCACAATGGCTAATTACTGCTGGGTGTCACGTGTCACATTCCTAAGCAAGCATTCCTAAGCATTTCTAACCGGAGAGGCCATATAAAGGCAAATTACCACCTCAATTAAAGGAAAACCTTAGGCACAGAACAAACTGAATCTAGGAGCCCAAGGCTCCAAAGCTGCATCAATGAACTGCCTCATTCTGTCAGCAGGAATAAGGCAGCCATCCATTTTTACTCTTTGCAGAAAAACCTTAAAATGCAAAATTATTTGGATCAATTAGAACAGCAACCAAAAAAAAAACCACAAAAAACCAAAAAACCCCAAACTCAAACCCCAAGTCCAATAAAACTTTCAGTGTAGTGCTCTCCAAATGGAGAAATCTAATGCACAAACAACAGGAATAACTCTGTAGCACTACTGCAAAAAAGTATCTGAGTATTGTCATGGATCACAGTGCACACAAATCTGTAACACAAAGACGTTTTAAAAAGGCTAAACTTCATTCTCCATTTGTCAAATGCAAGCTGAAAAAACCCCAGTTATTCTAGATTACTTGCCACTGATGAGAACAGCAAAAAATAACAGCTCATTCAGGGCATCATATTTTTCTGCTCTTCTCCAAACTAGAATGATAGAAAGTGTGGAAAAAAAGTTAGGAGGAAAGAATGAACATAGGACGTGGTGATGAATCTCAAATATGGGGAAAAAATGCTATAAATGGGACATCAAGGTTTCCATATTGATAATACAAAAAATAGATTTCATTTGCAGCCAAATGGGGTGTGGAGGGTGGAATTTGTGTCAAAAAGGCAGAGAAATACTGTAATGATCTAAGATTAGAATGAAATTGCCTTAACTGTAAATTTTGCTTGAGAATGCTCTAAGCAGACTTAATGATACTCCATTGTATGTGTGTCTTCCTGTGAGTGAGGCAGATGAGCACTGAACACTATTTCAGGATAACATTTCCTCCCAACT